AGGCCAGGCTGCCTTTCTCTCAGCCCCAGGCCACCATATCCAGCCCCTCGGCCCTTTCTTCACTGACAAATTCTGGAGATGACTCCCTGCAGCGAGGTTAGTGAGCACTGTGGATGGGGCTCAGTTCAGAGTCACTTCTTCCTCTTTTGACAAGTGCCCCCAAAGCCACCCAGCATCTACTCATTTATTATCATGCAATGTCTGCTATGTGTGCCTGTGCCTGGCTGTCTCTTCTCACAGAGCTTACTGTCAAGTGGGAGAGTCAGATTACAAACAAATGACCAGGATATGGTGTGATAGATGTTATGGGAGAAGAAGGCATGGATGCTCTGAGACCATGGAAAGGGGCATCTGACCAGCCTGCGGGAGAGGGATGGGGAAGCATTTTGAAGCAGGTGACCCAAGATTTGCCTAGATGGATCATTCAGAGGAGGATTCAGTGGAGGAAGGAAGAATGAAAGAAGAAAAGCAGGTGTAAAGTCGTGAAGGTCAGAGATGCTCTGGTGCGTGCCAGAAAACGCCAGCAGTTACCTCTTATGGGGTCTGCCAAGTTGTAGAAGGAGATGGAGGAGGAGGCAGGGGCTAGGTCCTGAAGACTCCCATATGACAGGTTAAGTCCTTTGAGCTGCTTTCTATGCAAAGGGGAGACTCTTAAGGGTTTTAATTAAGCAAGAGAGTGCCATGTCTAGATTTGAGTTTTAGTAAGACTGCCTTGGCTGGCTTTTGTTGGAGTGAGGACTGGAGGAAGGTGGGCTTTGAAAGCCAGTTAAGAGGTTTGAGTGGTGTAGGTGAGAGATGTTGAGGAAATTACTGGGGGAAAAAAGCTGTGAATCCTCAGTCTGAGAGAATTTCCTTTGAGTCCGGGAGAGAACACATAGTTCTGGAGGTGAGATGTTTGAGGTTTCATGCACCTGGAAGACAGGTGCAACTGACAATATCCTGGTATGCATTTTATGATCAGCCTGTATCTCAGAATCTTAATGTGTTTGATGAATGACTTACTGTATGTATTTACCAATCTGTTTATTTGCTGAGCCTCAACAGCTGTGACAAAGAAGCAGTTATGACTTATTATCAATAAAGCCTTCCAGAATGTGCCTGTGCTTGTGTCTCCGAGCTGGAATCTTTGGTCATATGGAAGCAGGATAGGAAAAATAGGGCATGTTTGGTCACTGGTTACTTCCTGCCATTTCCCCAGGTGCCACTCACATGTGGGGATGGGAGACGCAAGAAAATGATCTCTAAGGTTCCTTCCAGTTTCAAAGCAAGACATTCCTGTGTTTCTGTGCCCAGTCTTTTCATAGCTTTGGCCCACCTGCCGGCCAGTCGCCCCCAGCTAGCCTGGTTTGGGATGGCTTAGAAGCCCTTTTTTAAAGGCCAGTTGTACTCTGCCTGATTCTTAAGAAAACGTGATGCAAGGGGGTCTGTGGGGAGTCTCCTTCTGTGACCATCTTAATAGACCCTCAGAACTGCTTTGCCATGAAAGGAGAGGGCTTGGTCCTGCCTACCTCATTATCTGTGAGCCATCGAGCCAAGTGCTGCACGGGTTCTTGTGGTGCCATTCTCAGTGCTGCTTATTTATACAACCCTCTCCCTTTTGGGGCAGAGCCCTGGTGACCGCCGCCGGGGCTATGGGTAATTATGGCATTCTGCAGGGAGGTGGTACCTCATCACGTTCTAGCCATCTTCCCTGGAATTGCCTTTGATCCAGCTCTTTGCTGGGAAAGTAGCCATTAATAGATGTCTATCTCTGGTTTCATTTGCATGGAGAAGCAAGAACTAAATTGGCAATGGATGGTTTCATGTTCTCAGAGCTGGCCTCCTCCCAGTCTGTGCCCAGAGTTCTCAGAGCCACCTGGGAGGGCACAGGCCCCTGACCCATACTCTCAAGGAGCCGCCCAGAGGCCTGGGATGAGATCTTCCACCTGGAAGGGACCCAACGTGAGGTGCCTTCTGCTTGGTGCAGGCTCCTTAAGATGGTCTCCCTTCCTTCCTTTCTTTTTGTGTACTGAATAAAAGAAAGGACTGTGGGGGTCTCTGAAGTATTCATGATTGTTTTATGAATTATTTCATGATTTTCCTATTACAAAACAAATAAAAGCATATTAATGAAAATCCAGAAACCAGTGAAAATAAAAATACTAGTCACCCATAACTCCATTGTCCTAAAATAATGAGAATGTCCACAAATTTTATTCTGTCATATTTACATTGTCATTATTGTTCACAGCAGCTTTTGGTTAAAGGTAATTTTTTTATGCTCTACGTTCAATTGAGACCTTTCTTCTTTTTCTTTAATACATTTCAATGACTGCATAATGCTCCATCAATAGGTCCAAGTTTATTTATTCAAACCTTGTTAGATATTTAAATTATTTCTAAGTTACATTATGATAATGACTTTTATTTATATAGTTTCCCCCTCCCCCCATTTTGAAATTATTTTTCTTTGCGTAGTTTCTATGAGGTAGAACCATTAGACCAAAGAGTTGAATCATTTATGCTTTTTTTTTTTTTTTTTTTTTGTGACCGTTTTTTTTTTTTTGTGACCGGTAAGGGGATCGCAACCCTTGGCTTGGTGTCGCCTGCACCACGCTCAGCCAGTGAGCACACCGGCCATCCCTATATAGGATCTGAACCCACGGCGGCAGCGCTGCTGTGCTCCCAACGCTGCACTCTACCGAGTGAGCCACGGGGTTGGCCCTCATTTATGCTTTTTAAAAAATTTTGTTTTAATAGACACATTGTGCTTTTGATACACATTCCCATATTCCCCAAATTGTTTTCTAAAAGGATTTTTGTCCATTTACACTCCCACCAACAATGGCATACTCTTTCATACTGGGATTCTGGGACTTGTTATTTAAAAGTGATCCTTTAACAGATGGAAGAGGATGTCACATTATTGTACTATTCTCTCTCTCTCTCTCTCTCTCTCTGCCCCTCTCTACCCTCCCTCCTTTCCTTCCTTTCTTCTCATCTTTTCCTCCCTCTCTCCATCTCTCCCCTTCCTTTCTCTATCCCTCTCTCCCTCCCTTCCTTTTCTTTCTTTCTGATTTCCTGTGAGATGGAAGGATTTTCCACCTGTTATCAACAGTTGACCACAGTCCCCCAGTGCCCTAGACTTCCAGAGGTTCTGTCATCCAGCAGGTGCTTCTCTGTAGGGTGCTAGGGTGTGAGTGCCAGGCTCCCATTCTTGCCAGGAGGCCTTGAGGCCCCAAGGCCAAGTTTCCACATCTGGAAAATGAGGCAGTGGCTCCTAGAGGCCTGTCTTGCTCACGTGTTCTAAAAGCCTGCTTCTGTAACTAGCTGATTATACAACCTCAGTCTGGGGAGAGTCCCAGGTGACTTTTCTTTGACACATTTTGTTCTATCTGAACTCACAGCACACTTTGCTGTCCTGAATCATATCCTAGACTCAGAAGGGTGGAAAGCTGTTTATGTGCCATGATTCCATAGAGAGCCAGTTCAGATTTGGCCTCTTTTATTACCTGTTACTATGACATCAGAGAATCACACACTTATTTCCACTTAAATGCTGTGGACTGTAGTAATTCAGTACTGGTTTTATCTGTGTGGCAAAGCTCTGGTCATCTGCTTGGCCACAGGGTGGGCTCATGACCATCTAGGCCATGAGGTTTCTTTCCTGCAGATAACAGGAGCGCCCTCATGCCCAACCTGTCAACAAGCCGAGTCTGCAGCTGGCCAAGGACCTTACCACATGGAGGAGGTTCTAGGAGAGGATCGGACACATCCCAAGGAGGAGTGGGCTGGTGGAGATGAAGGAGCCTGAAGGGGTGGGGGACAGTCCACTCTCCCAGTCCTGGTTGCTACAGTTATATCTGTAATTCTATGCCTGCCCCAATATCCTTCTCAGCATTATGAACTGATAAATTCCTTTTTAGTGAATTAAGTTACTTTAGCTCAATAATTCCCACTAACATATCAGTTGTCACATATCCCACTAACATATCTACTTTCCCTGTTCATTCTTAATTGGGGTCCTCCCAAATGTGTATCTATTTTTTTTAACTCAAGTTTTTATTTTGAAATATTATAGATTTACAGAGTTGCAAAAATAGAGGTCTCATGTAAACTTCACCGGGATTCTCTTAATAGTGATGTCACACAACTACAGTTCAGTATCAAAGCCAGGTAATTGGAATTGGTATAATCCACAATGCTTTTCTCATTTTTAAATAAATGTCTAGCTGTGTGCCTACAGGTGTAATTTAGAGCCTGACTATTGTGCTCAGGAGATGTACAGTCTAACGAAGAAGAGAAGCACAGAGCAATTAAGTGCAGGTGCAGGGTACTCCCTTCACTGAGCACTGGCTGTGTCCCAGTAAACCAGGCACTTGGCATCTTAACCTCTTAAGCCTCACAACAACCCTGCAACAACAGTACTATTAGCATCATCATTCCTTTTGCACAGAGAAGGAAACAGGCACAGAGAAGTTAAGCAACTTGCTTAAGGTCACAAGTTGTTAGGGAGCAGAGCTGAGGTTTAAACCCATGCAGTCTGTACTCAGAGCCCTTCTGCTCAAGCATTCTGCAGTGGGACTAACAGCAAAGGGGAATGCAATGTTTTCCTGAACATCCCACTCCTCTTTCCCCTCCCTCCCGCTTCCTGAGGTTAGATACGTTACAGCTGCAGCCATATCTATGGATCTCTCAGGCTTTGCTCTAACAGAGACCAGTGTTCTCTGGGCACACCCTTCAGAAGAAGGCACGTCCCTCCAAGCAGCAGGTGGAGTCAGAGGGGAGGCCGGTTCACAAAGGTTGATAGTGGAGGGTTCTAGCCTCACTCTCCAGGGATTGCTTCTTGGTGGTTCAGTGCTGTAAAACAATAGAAAAACCCAAGCCTGCCAAAACACCAGAAGTCCTACACAGCAGAGGAACATGTTTACTTGTCAGTTCATGTTTCAGTTTTCAACCCCAGAGTGATGCACATGGTGGAGATGTCAGTGGTCATGGGGTTGAGTGGTACCCATGCTGCCTCATTCTGGGGGTGGACAGCGGGATGGACAGGAGGGTGGTCAGGGAGGTGGGCATTTAGGAGGACAGGGCTTGATGCAGGGCTTGGGAGGGCAGGGTGGGGGGCACACCGGGGGAGGTGGCTGGGGGCAGCACGTGGGGCTCGGGCACGGCGGTGGGCACTTTGGTGGGTCTGGACACTTCTCCCGTGGGCACTTTTCGGAGCAGCGTTGCAGCAGCTTCTTTAAACAGCTGGGCTGGCATCTGGACTCACACTTTTGTTCACATCTGGGATCGCAGTTCTTGGGCTCAGTCTTGGGGTCAGTAGGTTTATTTTTGTCACTAGATTTACTTTTATCATCACTTGACATTATTTCTTGATTATCCGGGCCCTGCAAAGAAACATGAGATGGGAGAGGATTAGTACAGACTTCCTACTCAAACCGCCTGCCCGTCTGTATTCTTAAAAAAGCCTTTCCTGGGATGTGCTCAGGCTCTCGACCCTCTTCTCATCTGAGGGCTGTCCTTGTCCTTGTAGTGGATTGGTGACAACATTTCTTGATCTCTCCACCCTTACTCTGCTTTCTTTTCACTTATACTTGTTTCCATTCCATAGACTCTAGTAGGAGTTCTTCACCTGGGGTCCTAGGAACCCCTCCCCACCGAACCATAAGAACTGTATTTTAATACCGTTGTTATCTTTTTGTAACCGCTTGTGTTCTATTTAATACATGTAAAAACATTATTCTAGGAGTCCATAAGTCTGATCAGGCTGCCGAGGGCACCCATGACACAAGAAAGACTTTAAAGAACTCCTCGTTCTTCACCTGGGGTCCTAGGAACCCCTCCCCACCGAACCATAAGAACTGTATTTTAATACAGTTGTTATCTTTTTGTAACCGCTTGTGTTCTATTTAATACATGTAAAAACATTATTCTAGGAGTCCATAAGTTTGATCAGACTGCCGAGGGCACCCATGACACAAGAAAGACTTTAAAGAACTCCTGTAAGGCCACTTCCCCATCCCCCTGGAGAGAGATGGAGGTATATTAGTGGACTTAGGGACCCAGAACAATTGCTTTCTTCACTCGAGGGCTGGGGAAGGGAAGATAATGAACCACTACTATGACTGAGTTCCCATGGACAACTCTAGATCTGGCCCCCCCATCACCCCCATTCAGGTTCTGCCAGGTGAGTGGGATGAGGAAAGAAATCAGGAGAGGAAGAGATGAACTGGGAAATTCTAATTTCTCTGCAAATATGCATGCTAGAGCCACAAAATATGGTTTTTGAAAGGTAATTCTTTTTTCTTCTGTTGAGTTTTGCCCTGAGCCAAATCTTTCTCTCTGGACAGTTTAACTTCTAGATATCCAGGGCTTTTCAGTTCCTGACAATACTTCAAGTTAGATCTCAATGACATGCCTTTGCTTTCCTTTTATAATATAAAAATAAAATTTAGTCTGATTTAGTTTTAAAATCAGTATGGCTCTTCGGGGAGGTAGATCATTAAGTTGAACTCTAAAATTGTTGAGAATCTCTATTCCAAGGTGAAGCACACTCTGGTCCTTGCTACTGAAAAATGACAGGAAACTTTCACTCAGTGTAACCCTCCCCCTCAACCCTGCTCAGTGCCTGGGATGCTGCAGGTCACTTTCAAGACAGGAGAGGTAAAAGAGTGGCCACTCCCCGTCATCCCAATGCAACTCACCCCTTTGTGTTGGTAGTGAACTTGACAAGCAGTCGGGTGAGGTGGACGGTAAGGCTGTGCTTGGGAAGGTGGATTTTCCCTCTGGTTCCTCTGCCCAGCTCTGAGGAAACTGGGGGTGGGGGTAGGGGTAAGCTCTACTTGTGACATCATCACAGCATCAACAGGTGGCAATTGTTGTGTGGCTCCAGAGCTCCCAGCTCAACCCAAGTCATGACCTGAGCTATCATTCATTACCCCTCCCCAGGTCCCTCAAAATTCATGCTGGTGAAAGGAGGCTACAGGGAAGACTCCTGAGCTCTAAGGATAGGAGGCTTATTGTTGCTAGGAGTAGAAAAGCTGGCTGACTGTTTACTCACAGTCTCTGTTTCCTCCCCCAGCTCCCGAAGTTATAACTCCTCTGAGCTTGCCCTTCTCCACCTTTCTAGGAAAGCAGTCCTGGGTTGATCACAGCTATTTTGACTCTCCTTTCCTCCCTATTTTTCTAACATGAGATTCTGAAACCTTTTACCACCTCACACTTCCTGGCCCAAGCCCAATGATTATTTTAGTTCTTTGTCAATGTCTTTAAACAAATACACTATTTTTTGGGTTCTGCAATTATTTTTCAAATCAGGGAATGGGCCACCTCTTGATATCTGCGTTAAATGCTGTGTGTTAGAAAGAAATTCAATTTGATGTTACTGACTGCTTCTGGCCAACTGGGTTAACCCCAGATTTCGAGCAGAAGGGTTTGCCTCTCAGAGGTTCCCTCCTTACCCTTGTCAGTTGACAAGGTCGACCAAGGCCTGGCCAGTAGGTCTTTGTGGTTGGAGTAGGGATGCATCTGGGTGGTACTGGGAGGTTGGTGTGGGACTCGTGATTAACATTGTGATATAATTATGTCTAAGATGTCGAAAGATATTCCTGACAGCAAAGTGTGGGATGGATTGGGAGATGGGGTGGTGGCATGAAAGTGGAATCAGCCTATTTCAAAGAAATTATGGAAACTTCAAGTCTGGAGGAAGGCAGGGTTAGTGGTAGGGAGTGGATACTAATGAGAGAAACTTCGTCAGAGAGGCAACTTTATGGGACTTGGTTACTGACTCTGTGTAGAAAGTTAAGAAGAAAGAAGACTTGAAGATGACTCCCAGGTTTCAAGAAGGTAACATTACAGTAATGTTACCTTTAATGGGAGCTGAGGAAAGAGGCGAACAGGTTTGTGCTAGAAGAATATGGGTTTGAGTCTCAGAGGGTTGAATCAGGGGACAGTGGAGCACTTTGGTTGGTTACTGCAAATATGGCTTTGGCCCTCGTGCTGTGGGGTGCGCCTGAGAGTTTGAGTTCATTTCAGTCCCACGAGTGTTTATTGAGTGAATGAGTATGAGCTGGTCCAGAGAAAGGACTGTGGGAGGAAAAGAAGAAGGACTGGGAGGGGGGGTAGAGAATCCCAATATAGAGTTTATTGAGTATTTACAAAGGATAAAAATTGCCACATACTGTCCAATGAAAACACAAATGAACCTAAATGAGAGGGGGGGGGACTAGAATGGACCCCCTGCCACTGGGATCATTAGTGGTAGAGCCTGGTCTAGGCACAGCCCACTCCTGTCTACTCATTTTCTTTCCTCTGTCATTTTGCTGATAAGCCCCATGTCCCCAGAGCTGTTGGGAAGCAGTTCCCACACCGTTCTCAGGAGACCCCACTCTACCTAGTCTTCAGCTCTGGGCCGGAGCTACCGATCTGGATATGCGGAAGGCAGTCATTCAAAAGACGCAGTGGTTTCTACTACCCCCTACTGTCTTCCTCTCTTTCTTCTCTTCCCTCTCCTATTTCTTGCTCAAGAAGTACACACTGAGGGAAAGTACATTATTCACCGAGCTTCCAACAGGACATAATTTCCCCACCATCTTCTCAGTGGTGAAAACCCTCCTCTCTAGAGGTCCGCGCTTCTGGCAGTGTCAGTATCCCACCTGCTGGCCTCACCTCTTGCTGAGGGTCTGGCTGGCAGCAGAGCACCACTAAGGCGAAGCACAGATCTGGCTTCTTAGGCAGCGGGGTCTCGAGAGAGAAGCTGAAGGGGACATGAGCAAGCGTCAAATCCCAGCCCAGAATAGGAGTCAAGGGTGAGGACCCTGGAGTCAGATTCCTGAGTTTAAATCCTGCTTTTACCCTTTATTTATCAAATGACCTCCCTCCCACTTAATTTACTTAATCATTCTGAGTCCAATTCCCTCATCTATAACATGATATAATAGTAGCACCTGTCTTAGGATAATATATAACTTATGTTGATTGCTTATGACATGCCAGGCGCTTTCCAGTGCAGCAGCTGCGGTCTCATCCATCATACCTCCCACTGTCCTCGTAGGGTTGTTGTAAAGATGGGACATACGATGTATGAAGAACCCCCAACAAATGCTTGCTGTGCTACCTATTAGTTATTATATTTTCAGTGCTGGGCTGGCTTCTTCATCCCCTGACTTCTTAGATCTCTCTTTGTGTCTCTATCTCTGTCTCTTTCTCTCATATTCTGATCTTGGCCCTGAAATCCCACTTTTCCAACTCAATATTCTCCTCGGACCTCTTCATATCATTTTTTTTTCTAGCCGAAGTTCCTGGTGGTGTTCAAAGCAAGATTAAATCTTTCAGTATTAACTGTTAATGGGTGATTTCAGTTTTGAGTAGGGAGAATTGATATAAATATGAGTGATAAAAGGTAGTAATTTAAACATTAAGGCCAAAAAAGTCATCGGGCCGTTCAGTGGTTCCTGTGTGTGCCTCCAGGCCCCGCGTGTCTGTATATCGTACCAGGCCAGGAACATGGTTTGCATCAGCCGTTTTAACTTACTAGGATCCTGCTTTCTGGTTTTTTTGGGGGGCAAAGTCCCCCCCCCTTTTTTCCTGTCTTTTTCTATCTCTCTGTGTAATTCTTGTTGAACAAGCAGGACTTAAGGATAAAGTCAGAAAACATCTCGATTTCTTCTCTTGATGCCTTTAAAATGCTCTCCATGGGGCTGGTTCTTCCCTTCCTCTTGGGATGAAATCTAGCAGATGCCATTGACTATCAGGGTCATGCTAAGGAATAAGTTCTCTGGTCACTTCTACTTACCTAAACAACCTTATTTCAGGTATTGGAAAATCTATTTCCCTGAATATTGGATTTCCTTCTCTTTCCCACCTGGGACTGCTGCAGGCAGCAAGTCTGCAGTGGGAATGGAGAGCATCTTCTCTGTTTGCTACTTGGAAGTTTCTGCTCCTCTTTCCTTGCTCACCCAACTGCTTTGGGGGTAGAGGCTGCAGAGGGAGGAAAGAGAAGAGGCTGAAAAGTTCTGAGCTGACCTAGGAGATTTTGGGGCTTGGCAAGTATTTAAAGCTGACCTTTCTCTGTGGGGAACTCGAATGTGTTCTTCAGGAGAAGCCACCATCCCTGCCTTGGGGTTTTGCTAGCAGTCCTTCAATACTGGCAAACATGTTTCTTTTGGTGAGATGCTATGGCTTGCAATGCCTAGACATTTGGCAAGTTCTCCACCAGCTTCTCTGGCTGGATTCCCTCATCTCCAGGGGCCCTTTTGGACAGCATTTAATTAATTAATTAGTTAATTAATTAATAGTGATCGTACATATTCACGGGGAACAGAGCTGACCATCAGCCCCTGTGCCCAAGATGTGGTGATCATATCAA